GACCCCTCCCATTCGGTCCGATGTTTTATGCAACATTCCACTAATTTATCCTCCGAAAAAGTAACGAGCCCGAGTAATTACTTGTTTGCGCCGCGGACACTTTTCCTGCCCCGTGCACGAGCGCATTTCCACTCCCGTTGCACCCTAGGGCAATAATAGTCACTCCGGTCATGAAATATTTAGTCACGATCACTAGGATCGTTTACCGAGAAATTAACCGACTTCGTTTAATTACCCCGGTCTAAATAGTCTAAAATGCCCGATAGAAAATTCTCAAACTTTTGTCCTTACCTGGACGGTTCCGCGAGTTGCCTTGAAATTTCAAACTAGGGGCGAAATTTACAAACTCTTCACGTAGTGAATTATCTTTATGCGATTCAGGTAAAATCTTATACCGAGCAGGTTTTTTTCAATTTCTTTTTTTTTGGAAATTCCCAGTTGCAATTTTCTCCAGGTACCGGTGAGGGTTAACGTTCCGGAAGGCACTCGTCCCGAGGGAACCCTTTCGCAAGACGGGGAGGATCGGGAGGATCAGGAATCGCTGGACCCCTAATTCCTCTGCCCTCCGTCAGAGGGCGCGAGATAGGATCTAGGGTCGGCTAAGAGAAAAGCCGGGTGTCGGATTAGTCGGCGGCGGACGGCGGAGGGGAGCGGATCCCTCAGGAGTGGGTCAAGGGGTCGGCGCGCGCCCGCTGTCCAGCGGTCCCTCAATTTTCGGCTTTCCCGAGGACTTCTCGCTACCGTTCCTAACCTCTCAAAGGCTCCGGTCGTAAATCTGTTTATTTTGCACAGGTCGTTCCCGTGGGAGGGCCAACCTGCGACGACCACCGCAGCTACAGGAGCCCGTACAAGTATTGCCATGTAGATAACATAATTGTTCCGTAAGTTTGCCTCCTGGCAAAAACCCCGTTTTTCAAAACAATTAATATTTCGACCTTAGAAAATATCCCTGGGAACTTACAGAACAACCCAACTAGGACTATGCTATAATATAGAGATTATCGAGATTACTTTGTGTTTTTACGAATTATTGTATCCCACATTTCATTAATGTTTGCCCTGATCAATTGAACTGCAACGATGAATCTCTTTTAAGCTCCGTAATGGAGAGTATGAACGGCGTCGCGACGGAGCCGGATCATGGTATGGGATTTTGACCGACCCGTGTCGCGTTCACGTGTCAATTTCGTCCGTTGGGAGTCGGTCCGAAGAGTCGAGGAAACGCGACACGGCGACGCACCCGGGTTCGGTCGCGAGGGTGTGCGTCGCGACGCCACGTGGCTCCAACCCTTACGAACACACGATCCGCTGGGCGGGGCCTTTTGCTTTCGCTTCCTCCGACCTTTGTAAGGGTGCCTACCGGGCATCGAGAGTCCACCACCTGGAGGGCCAGAAGGCCCGCAAATTTCCTCGCGTTTTGTGTTACGTTGTAACGGTAATTCGGATCTCACCCTTGCGTCGACAGCACCCTGAGCAAGGGTGGAAAGGCCCGACTTTCTCAGCTTTCAGAAAGACAAAGGGCCTCCGAAAAATCTTCACCCCCCGGTTTAAATTAATTATCAAATTTATAACCATGGGACTTTACGCCAAATCCTCGAACAAAGATGTACAAGCTCGGGATGGAAAAAGAATCGAGGAGGTTAGGTCCGCAAATCGGTGCTATAACTTAATGAAAGCGTTCTACCCCTCGTGGCCGACCCCTCGACGGAACAAGGAAACAAGGCGAACATTAGATAGAATAATCGCGTTAATTGCGGGAATTTATACAGTCTGCACGGGGTAGATTGATCCGACGCGACTTTTTTCCACCCTTAACACCCGGGGGTGTCTCGTCGGGAGCCGAGGTTAAGGGCGGCTCGGTTTCGCGATCCGCGGATATCGACGAAGGGCTTGGAATTCCGAGGAAGGGCCACGTTCGCAAGAATTAACGGATAACGAGCTGAGGGGAGGGTCGTAGAAGAGACGCGGGGGTTAGGGTTGTCCGACAATGTCGCGCAAACGAGCGAACCACCCCGTGTGACTCGCCACGCCCTTCTCGCTGCGTGGAATCGCAAATTGGAACCCACGTCCCGACTGTCCTCGGTCCCGAGAGCATCCCTTTGCTGTAAGCCGCTTTTTCGGCTGCCCCGATTCCCACCCCCGCAACCCTCCCCAAAACGAACCGTGCCAGGGACGCCCAAGACGATCTGGAAGCGCGGAAAGATATTCCAGAAAATTGCCAAAAAATAATGCCGTCCCTTAAAAAGACACCCCTCATACCCACCCCCCCAAAAAAAATATAATTAACCTACCGAGGCATCCCTGTTGAAAATACGACTCCGAAGTAAACGCAAAAAGTATCCACGCAAAAAGCGAAAAATTCATCTCCCTTCGTCAATCTGGTAATAAAAAATTGCAAATTAATCTTGGAGGGTAAGAGGGTATTTAGAGATCAAGGAAGTTAACTTGGGTTAGAATCGAGTTAGCGGAAATTATGCCTTCGCCGAATTGGCAAGGGTATAGGTAAACGCGTTAACTCGGTAGATTCGACGTTTGCGCAACTATGGGGTTTGCATAAATAATCGGGCAAGTAGGAGGTCGAGAGTAAAGTGGGTTCAACTTGTCCGAGACGTTAGGGCTCCTCGGAGATCATGAACTTCCGTTTAATCGATGTTCTCACCGCCCCGGGCCGACTCGTGCAACCTTTTGACCCGACCCCGTCGCACTACTCTCCCATTGGCAGTAACTCGAGAGAACACGAGACATAAATACCCTGGTTATGGTCCTGGGACGGTGTCGCCCAACAAATCTAATATATGGGTCAAATGCTAATTGCTTAAAGTCGGCCGACATGTCGAGTCTCTTGGGACGAGTCTTAACGACATCAAGCGTGGATCCGAATGCCCCTCTGACCCGATGACAATCCCCATCGTTATTTTCTAATAAATTTCCTCGCTTTTCCATCACCCGAGAAACTGTGGGGGAAATGTTTAAATTTCCGTTTCCCGTGCTGATAATAAATAACGCGTCCCCCCCTACACCCTGAGGCTCTTTATTGATTTTTTTTATACATATCTTCAGGGACGACTTGCACTTGGTTTTTTTTTCCCCCCCTTCGATTCACTTTGATAATCATGTATGTAGATTTTTGGACTCCTCCGGTCGATGGGAATTATTAATATTAATTTTGTCACGATCGGAGGCATTTCCCATTCCGGAAGCGCGACTGGAAATCGATCCTCCGCGAACTTTCCGCTTGCCTTTTCTCAGGGTGAAATTCATCCCCCAGACCCGGTGTCGATATACCGAGACGTCATACACGACATGTACACCTCGATTGGAATTATTCATCGGATCGATTTCCACCGCGGGACGTCAGGAAAAACCGTGGAAATGCCTGCGACAGGGCAAATCAGCGGAACTCGGGAGAGCTTAACGGCGAAAAATTGAGGGAAAAATATCGCTTAATTGGAAGATCTTCAGGAAATTTTTATGCGAACCGGAGTGACGTCACTGTTCCTAAAAATCCAGGAAGTATGAATGAAACCAGCCGGCGGTTCGGGTTTTTAAAAGCGGACCCGACATGTCCATTATCCGATTTTCCGAACCCAACGGCGCGTTCTAAGACAAGATGGCGCGGCCATTGTACTCCAAGACGGGTTCTTCTTTAAGTATAAGTTTACGTTGGAAAACCACCGAATGTTTTCCTCATTCATGGCGCACCATGGGGACCTACCTTTTTCCTGCTCGTGCCCCGCCACTTTTTTCTCCACGGCTTATTCCTTTATCCCGAAAATCTCTGCCCTTGCGGCGACAAATTTCCAAGAGATACAAACGAGCGGAGGTACACGTTAAATTCCCGAGAAATTGTCGTGGTATTAATATTGTATTGTTTAAAAATTTTACACGAGGAAATAAAATAATATACCAAAACAAGCTTACGGGTGTCGAAGTACGTGGAGATGAGCAGCTTTCATGTCGTGGTTTGGTAATCTGCAGTTCCAAGGAGTGACATCGATGGAATATTTATATAAAGTCGAAGGCGATGTGTATATACGATGTTAATAAAATTAAATCGACGAAGTATTCGAGGAACGAATCGTAAAGACTAGGAAAGGAAGGCTAAGAAATAATTAATTTCTTACAATTGAAAATTGATGAAAGTAGTAAAGAGTCTGTCATCTTTTATGGGAAAAAAATCGTTTATTTTTACAATTGAAAATTTATGAAGGGAGCGAAGAGTCTTTTATATATCCTAAGAAAGTACGGTACGAATCTAAGTACTCGATCGAGTGGATAAATATGTCGATTCCCAGAGTAACACCCGTTACGTGGAGTAGTACGTGGGACTCCGGCGTCGCCGAGCGAGATATACGAGTACAGTTATCCATAGAAGTGGAGCGTGCGTATGGTCTAGAACGGCAGGTGGTGTCCGCTACTGCAGGCGAACAAAAAGAAAGGAAGGAAGGAAGGAAAGAAAGGAAGATAGCACGGGGAGGCTCCTCTTGAAGACACTGGTCTTCCGAGGCCGAGCTTCCCAGGACGAGCCGAATAAATTCCCAAGCTCAAAAGCTAAGAATAAAAAAGAAAACTTATAATAAAATGAAAACTCGGAAATTAATACCTCCCGACTACGGATCTACCCTTAACCGGGTAATCCCCACTTGGAATCGCCTCTCCATTGGAACTGGATTAAGAATGAATGATCTCTTACCTGGAAGAAAAAAATCTCATACCAACATTGTCTTCCACGATGGCCGGAACAATGTTGAAGACCCTATGTTGCGGAAAACGTCGAAGGAGGGAATTTGGTATGATGGGCATGTATATATATTTTTTTTTTTCTCCCGCCATTAGTCTAGAGTTTCTCTGATAAACACAAAGCTCGTTCTCCCTCTCTCCTTTCCTCTTCCGGTCCTAGGTACCTCCTTCGAGTAATCCACTAAAGAAATATCTAAATCCCTTGAAATTACCCGATAAGTCTTCGAAGCCCCACGGGAGGTAATGAAAATAACGCCGTATGTTAAATTGAATTAATTAGTTATTATTCATATTTTATACAATAGTAATTGTAATTAAGGTATTTTAGTTTCTCCATAGGTATCTATATTCGTACAAGGGTATCTCGGTAGAGTCGCATAAATCGGGGCTGGGGGATTCCGCCGCGTACGGTTCGCTAATAGACGATTCTCCTGGATTCTTTGTCTTTACACGTCATCTCTTATCACAATATTAATATTTTACACAGATCCACTTAATGGCTAACTCGTTAGGAGAGGGGTTGGTGGTTGTCGCACGGGACGGGGGATTCGTCCCTTGCTCGTATTTACAGTGCTCCGAAATCGATCCTCGCAGCTCGGCCGGACCTAGTAACTTCTAGTGATTTTCTACGACTCGCATAAAACGCCCTCCGCGCCGCTCTTCCCCGTTTCCCTACACCCTCGCCCACCCGTGCCTCTCCTAGAACCTCGGGGCTCTCTTCCTCTCCACCTCGCAATTTAGGAACTGAGGAGTTACGCTTAAATTACTCTTCTTATTGCACCATACCGAGCGATACGACGCGCGACCTGGTCCTCGTCTCCCATCTCAAATTTTTACCCAACTCCCCCTAGAATGCACTCGGGATTTTTATTAAATAAACAACCTTATTCCCCGTTTCTTTCCCAATTTTATATACATGCATGCTTTATCTGGCGGAAAGTGAGGTTAACCCGTCAGGGAATAAAATCGCTTATTTAATACTCGAACTAGTTTCCTTGAACGAGTCGATTTATCTCCTTTCTAGGACATGGCAGAACAATGTGACGTCTGTTCTTTTTCTTTTTATTCGTGTATAAAAATCAGCGAAACCATGAAAGATCGTTTTCTCGTGTACGATGCGTAGTACGCGTATTGTTTATACAAATAAACCACCTCACCGTGGATCATCTTCAAAGCAGAGAACCAACGCGATAACGATACCTTGCACCGGCGATAACGTTCCCTAATTCTCCCTCCCGCTTTCCTGGGCATGTTACCGTTGTTCAGACCTGGATTATTATTTTTTTTTCCTTTTCACGCAATTTTCTTCACGCATTTCCTTTTTCCCCCGAGTCGAGGGAAAGAGACTCGCATGATGGACAGTGCATCGCCTCGATGGACATAACCTATACATAAATGTAGAAAAATAAGCCGATGAAAAATAATACCCTTTCTAAGATCCGAATTTACATTGTTAATGCATCTCGCATCGCCCGCCATTTTGGAGAGGCTTGGTTTCCGTTTAAAGTGCCCCTTAAAATTCATCCCTTCTTCGGAAAGACTCGAGGTCGAGTTTTTTTTCGACGCCTCGAATAAAGCCGCGGATCGAGGAGTCGAAAAGGGAGAAAGAAAGCAGCGAAAAGACCTCGTTCTTCTGAGGTCGCGCATTGTCGAGTCGGATTTGGGTCACCAACGAGGCTCACCGGTCCTCCTCGGTTTCCCTCCCCCTGGATGGCCGCAAACCACCTTTTTCTTGCGGTTTTGCCTTGTCTCGAGACACTTCCCCGGCGTCGCGCGTTGCGCAATTCAAAATGGCCGCCGGCGTATCGCCGCGGAACCAAAATGGCCGCCCGACGCGCGGTATCGGAGAACGTGACCCGATGTAGGCCACCGGAAGAGCTTCTTTTTCAAGGCCCCGGTAAATTCAATTCAGGTTTTTAGAAATCTTCACGATTTTCTTCCTAACCGACGGTGGCTCGAGACGCGCCTCCAAAATGGAGTCGACGAAGAGGCTGCGATCTCTCGTGGTTGGACAATGTCGAGTCGAATTTGGGTCAGGACGCTCACTGGTCCTCCTTGGTTTCTCTCCACCTCGGCCACAAACCGCGTTTTCGTTGCGGTTTCGTTCCTTTTTCCCCGATTCCGCAGACACGAGCATTGTGTAACGCGAGAGGCCGCAGGCAGAACTGCCGCGGTACCAAAATGGCGGCCGACGCCACCCGAGGTGGCCTCGAGAAGACCCAAGTGGACCTCGATGGACCACCGCAAGAAACGTTTACGAGAAATCCCGTCTCTAATTCACCGTTTATCCTGTGGAGGAGAAACTTCGACGATAGAAAAAAAAAGTGAGAAACATAAAACACGGGACCAATGAAAATGATCGGAAACGGTAACAGCGATAACGGAGACGCGGAACTAAAATATCGAAGGAGCGTCGAAAAGCTCCGGCTTTTTCGATTTACGTTGCGAAGAGGTATTAAAATGCCGATTACGAGGGAATGGAGGCGCGGGAATACGTTAATTTGAATGATCGAACAATTTGAATAAGCGACGCCGTTCGAGATGGACGCCGGTCCAGGATCGCCATTAGGAAACCGGAGGATGATTTCTTTCTCATTTCGCGAGATAATTGAGGGCAACGGACGAAGAAAGTGTAACATACCAGTCTCGTTCTCACGAGGCCACGCATTGAGTAAGAGGTAATGACGCGAGTGAGGAACGTTGATTAAGAGGAAAGGTGGAAAAGGACATTCCTCGTTTACCCTCCTTGGTACCAAGATGGCGGCCCCAGAAGAGGCGGCTTCTTTCCCGCATTCCGCGCGGAAAGCACGGCGAGAATGTCGAAAAAATGGGAGGGAAAAGAAGAAAAGGAAAAAAAAAAGAATCGGAAGAGAGGTTAGCCGGTGCATCGCGGGGCGATAAATCAGGCGTAGCGATAAATTATCCACGGTGGAATTTTATTGAGAGGTCGTAAAAGCGCGATGGCCGACTCCTAGGAAAGGCGCACCGCTCGCGTTTGACGAACTTTCATGAGAACTGCTCTCGACGGAGGCGAAGAGAGACGGGGAGCCTCTTCAAGGTGGCTCCGCGGAGGTGAACGAAAATGAGCACGGGAGAAAGAGAGAGAGAGGCCTTGACGAAGAGAAATCTACGGTTAGCCACGAAGTGGCGTGACGACTCCGTGAGAACTGGCGTCTCGAGAGAGTCGAGAGGGGAAAGCAACGAAATACGAAGTGCCCGCTTTCGTGAAAACCGGCCCAGAGGAGTCGGGAGCATCCGCTGCATCCAGAGATCTGCGAGAAACGTTGATTCACATCTAACATAACCCCAAAGAGAAGAAATGCTCAATCGAAGCGCACCTCCATTTAATTTCGACACGGACTCGAGGAACCAGAGGATCTCCCTTGGACCTCCCAATTTGATAGGGAATTTTATCTAGTTTAATTAGATCTCGAGGTTAGGAAAATCCTCTTTTTAGGAGGTACCCTATCCTCGAGGACTTCCTGGGAAAATCGGAGCCAAACGAGGCCGAGGCTTCTGGGGGACGTGGGAACGTCATGCCTCTAGGGGACATTTTCGGCATGTGACTTTCTCATGATTTTTATTTAATTCCCATTACCTCCCCCTCCCCGTTTCGGGGAATTACCCGATGCGTTGCGCCATCCGGAAAGGAGGGCCTGATTGCGTCGTCATCCGAGATTGCCTCGTTTGCCCCGCGAAAACGTCATTTAGGATTTCATTAGGCCTAAAAACCGCCGTAAAGAGACGACTGCGCCTCCGTTGCGAAACGCGTCGGTTTTCTTTCTCCCTCGCGTTTTTGCTCTCCTCGACCTCCCCCTTTTTTCCTCCCCCTTTCCATTTCTTCTTCCGTGCATCCGACAGGTGTCATCGTCCATATCGAAAGGCGAGGCGAAAATCTACGTACCACCTATTTCTTTTACCGAATTAAAATATCCAAATCCTATTTCGTGCAATTTTTCCCGCTACCCAAAAATGGCGTCGCGAAATCCCGAGCGACTTTAATTATCTTTCGATAATCCCTATTTTCGTGGGATCCTCGCGACTCGATTAAACCTTGAGAGCAATTTTCTCCACCCATTCCTCGATTTATTCTCCTCACCTACCCCCTAAGGGATTCCCACGTACAATCGCCGATTTCATTATCAGAGTTACCTGCAATTACATTCTAGGTGGGGTTATCTTTTGAGTTCCGATGCACTGTCGCTCGCTTTTTCGGGGTCCTTATCGACTGCTATTCGGTAATCTCGCCTTGTAGGGCATACGCATTAGTTTCCTGCAGGACTGACAGGAAAAAACGAGTGGCCAGGTCGCTTGCATACGAGGGTGCATCTCTTGCGCACGCATTCATCTCACTTCGACGGACGGCCCCGCGCAGCTTAGAAGCGACAATTACGATTCTCTTTAGATAATTAGACGATATTAACATTACGGTCTGACGTGGCTACGTATTCACACTTTGGGCAGGGCGGCCTGGGGAGCAAGGCGACGTCTTCCTGGCTGCGAAGAGGATCTTCCCTTGGGATAGGCTCCAGTTCGCAACGTTTTCGTTAAACCGCCGGCCATACCCTGGAAAATGAATTCCAGTGTTAAGAGACATTTACTCCGTTGATAAAAAAAAAAAGAACTAGAGGAAGTAAATCCAAACCACCGACGGCGCATAAATAAATGCCAGCCATTTAGACCGCGTCTATTGACATTATCCTACCCAAAACCACCAGAAGAAGTGCTCAACTTACCCCAGTGAACGAACATTCACAGAAACGACACGTTTCTGAATCTGAAATAAATTAAAGCAGCGAACTTCTTAACATGTATGTTAACTTATTATAATATAGAGTCCCTCTTGCCAGTAAAGGAATGCAATGTTCGTTCACTGTACTTTCAAGATATCACGAGCTGGACCGCTGCCTATCATTCCATACGAGATAAGAAACGTAAGACAATGCCCCCTGATACTTGATAAATTACAATAAAAATCTCGACAGTCCCTGTCCACCTTTTCGGTGGATTATCAAAACCCCCTGATTTCGTAATAATTAAAATATAAAAAAAAAAGAGAGTACGACGCGATAGGTCATGACGCCGCCATCTTTTTATTCGGGCGATAAGAATATCCACGAGCAATTAATTTCCTTCCAAATCTCAATCGACCGGCCATGCGATCCAGATACTAAAAACTCTTTCTCTGCTCTTTCCATTTAATTTCTCGATCCCCAAAAAAGTCGAGACCGCGCGATAACCCCGCGTGATAATGACCCAAGGTGAATAAACTTTTTTTTTTATCGAAGTACAATTGAAAATGGACTTACGTCAGTAATCCTGGATTCGGATCCGCCTGATACCAGGAATACTGTGGCATGTATCCCGCGTGGTGAGGCGGGGGTGGAGGCGGCGGGGGATGATGCCCGGGCGTGTGTGGGTGGTGGTGGGTGTGGGGTGGTGCGTGGGGGTGGGGGTGGTGTTTCATCTCCCCGGGCCAAGATGGCGCAGGGGGGCTCTCGTTGTGCTGAGGTGACATCTCGCTTCCGGGGCTGGAGCTTCCGGGGGTGTGACCGCCTCCCCCACCCCCCATGCCCCCGAGGTACCCCGTCGTCGGACTCCCCGACACCGAACTTCCGCCTCCTGAAAACCGGAAGCCGATTCGGCCGTCTTAGAAACGGGATTAATGCTTCCCAAAATCCCGTTTTCCGACTTCTAGGTCCAAACTCGAAAGTAATTAAAGCTCCGCGGTTAAAAGCGTTCATGAAATTGCCCCCACACTCTTGTAATTAATTTCCTGAAGATTTGGAAAAGGAAACTAAGAATTATTAATTTCACGGCTTAACAAGGCTCTCTAGTTGTTATGCATGTCAAAAGCATGGTAGATTCTCAGTGAAAGTTTCATGAAATTACAGTACCTTTTTTCTTTACTATTAATTGTGTAATTGTACTTGGACTAATTTTATGGAATTTGAAAATTCGATGCATCGAGTTGAGAATGTAGGACCGTCGGAAACTTAGTGGGGCAAATTTTTGAGTACTCACCACCCTGCATGAGTCCCCCAGGTTGGCCAGGCTGTGGGGAAGGTCCCCCAGGTAGCGCGGTTCCACCTGCGAGAAGACTTCCGTGTTGGCCACCGCCACCTCCTCCACCCTGCTGCGCCGCCTTCATCATCTTCTTGTACTTGCTTCTCCTGTTTTGGAACCAGATTTTCACCTGCAACCGGAAACAAGATTTTCAAATTATCTCTCGATGTCTTAAGACTCCCTTCACTTCTTTAAGGAATAATTTTTAATCTCGTACACTTTTCATACAATATCAAGGCGATAAGAATCCTTAGGGCCTTCCTAATCTCGTGATGAATTTTCAAGTGATTCGACGCATCCAATTTGGAGCAAAAGTTTCTATAAATATTTTCACTTTTCCTCGTGTATATATCACACTTTCGTATCAGCTTAACGGTTTCGAGGGTTCGTCGGTTCCTCGCAGTTCCTTCGGTCACCCTGGCAAAAGGGGTACGTGGAACCAACCGAGGTGAACGTATTTTTCGAAGGACGAGAGCGACGGTACTTATGAGAATCCTCGATCGGCGCTGGCCTCCTCGCGGAAAAGAAGAGGAAGAAGAAGAGGAAAAAGGCCGGTTTCGTAATCGCTTCTTTTACGGGCACGTACCGCGGACGCCTTGCGACGCTTTACAGTCTCCGACGCCTGCGTTGTACGATTGCACACAGGCCATTTTTCATTCCACTCCGCAACACACGCGAGGCCTACACGTGACGCGCTCCTGAATCTTATGTAACTGCACCGAGAGACTTGCACGGAACGTTACAGGGTGTCCGTCGTTATTGCTCTCTGGTCCCCAGAAAAAAAAAAATCAGAAACGTCAAAAATAGGGCCCGAACTACTCCGAGGGAAAATTTTAGCCCTTTGAGCCTGTATAAAGTAAGACCTTCATCAATGGCACTTTTAAGTGAGAGGAGAAAAATTAATAAAAATGTAACAAAGTACCTCTCGGTACATAAATCGACGACAGATCAGTCTAATTAACCGCAGTGTTTGCAGGGCAAAGAAGGGGCATTCGCGGGGGTGGAGCCCGACGTGCCGGGACGGATAAATCTCTTTCTAATTGCTCTGTGAAAAAACGCGGGGTACCAAGAGAGGCCGACAAAGGGAACGGTAAGCCCCTCTCGAGGTGCTTTATTTCCCGGCCGGAGCTTCGAGCATTTATTTATTGATATTTACAGCGATACAGATGTCGAGATGGATGCGCGTTATGTGCTTCTTCCGACTCTTCTTGCCGGCGGTTTGCGGCCGAGGAGCATCGCCGGCCTCTATTATTTATTTCTATGATCCCGGATGACTAAAAGCCCCTCGACGAATCCCTTCGAGGGACGGGGGGAGGATGGAAAAAGAGGGGGAGGTCGAATCAAACCGCGGATTTCTTATGGGGAAGGCGTCGCTCCGCTCGGGGTCCACTTCCGGCGATTCCGCTCTCGATTCTCTAGCTATTCATTGTTCCGGGACATTTTTACGATTACGGTTATTTCTTCGTATCCCCTTCCTACGTCTTTTCCGAAGCCAGTTTCCACCGGCTATGCCATCGAATATCCGAGTTTCTTCCTTATGGGGTCGAAAGCACAAACCTCCCCTGAAACCGAAATTCAAGGGTTCTACCCTGGAAATTTAATCCAGACAATTTCTTATTCAAAATTTCCCGTTAAAAGTGAAATGTAAGAGAAAGAAAAATTTCCGCGGATGTAGAGGAGAGCTTTTTCCTATCTCAGGATTTTATGGCGAGTCCTGTCACCTGGCGTCCTTGTCCGGTACCGCCGGAGGGTTCCCGGGGGTCCAAAAAGTCCTCCCGAAATTTATGCAAATCAGCGTGGAAAGCCGGCTTCCCCCCGCGAATATATAAATCCCCCGAGTCCATAAATACATAAATCCATAAATACATAAATACATAAATCCATAAATGTATGACCGCGTAGAGGTAGAAATATCTACAGGAGCGGCGATTCGCGCGCGAAGGAGCGCCAGAGGGCGGCCACGCGTGCAGAGGATCCAAGATGGCGGCGCTCGGGGAAAAATGGCGGCGCGCGGGAACGCGAAGTCGCCTGTCCCCGGCTTCCGAGGTTCCTTCGGGGCGAACCTCGTAACGGCCGCTCGTCGATCGCCGATGCATACTCAATGAGCGACCGATCGCCCCGAGGTGGTACCCGGGCTCGACATTAGACCGAAATAAAAACAGCCCGAGTCTCCTACGTGAATCACCGATGCTTTAATATTTATGAGGCCCGACTCCCGGTAATCTGCTCGCTGATAAATGAAAAGGACTTTTCAATCCCGACCGAAACACCGCGAAATTACCCGCGGGGGCACTCGTATTCCTTCTCGAGCAATTTCACATATGATATATAAACATTTTATTAATAACACCGTTTTATTCCGCGCTCGTGCGAGCGTCCGGTTCCAAGATGGCGGCGGGGACGCCTCTTCTTCCGAGGATGAAAATGCAGAAATAGGTGGGATATTCGCCATCCGAGAGAGAATTTAACGCGTGGTTTAGGTGTGTTCATGGAAAATGCTTAATTCCGAGCTTTTGTGGGGTTCCTAAGGAAGAGTTAATCGACATTTTCTGATGGTTCGGCGGCAAGATGTGGGACGGTAGGAATTTCGGCCGAGCCTGTTCGCCGATTAATTCGTCGCTATCTAGATCGAGGGTAGCTATAAAATGTTCCTAGGAGCTAGATAGGGCTCTCAAGGACTCCTTCCATGTAAAATATTTCCCTCGGCCGGATCTATCGGGCAGATGCGACGAGCACCGCGGTGCCCAAGATGGCGGACCTCGGAGGGGCGGAAGAAAAGGGGTGATGCGATATAGACATGAACTACCAAACCATGGAATACGTTCCGACAGAATTCCCACACAAGTATACACGTTACAATCGCCATCGAAGGGCAGAAAACCTGGGGTGGACGCGCATGTCTAAAACGGTACGCGATGCATTTCAACGGATCCACCATTTAAGCCCTATTAAAAATGTTTGTAAATATTTGTAGGGGTTAAATCAGCGGGCATTATTTGTAAAGTCAGCCCTTCTCCCTTTTGTTACCACGAATGCATTCAATGCTTGATACTTTATTCCGATAGGCGAGGGATATTTCGGGATCCCGAAAATGGCGTCCCTTCGCCGGATCCCTTTGGTCCGTTTTAATTGGAGGGCTTTCCGTGGAAGGGCAGGACTCGAGGGGTAGATCATTCCGTGGGCGAGAATACCGCAGAAGGGCGAATGGTTTTCCGCCCTTAGGACCCTCCATTTTACTAGCACGCGATTGGTCGACGTCGACACGAGGGTCGGTTACCATTTTTTCCATGACTGCGCGCTTCTCCCCGCTTTTCGTGTTCCTTCCCTCTGTCGAGCCCTCCGAGCCCTCGAGGAGCGAGTAAAAAATATTAAAATATCTCATTAGAGAATATCCCGTATTTACTTATAATTAATATTTATTATCACGGAGAACAACTGGAATTTATTTTAATCCCGGCGCAAGGATTCCATTTCATCCCTCGTACGAGTTCTCTCGTTACGGAGTCATTACTTTCTTCCGCCGGCGAGGTGGCGGAATAATTACCGGCAATTATCAATGATCATCGATGACCGCGCACTCGTAGGACGAGTCTCGTGAAAAAGTGGTCGCACTCGTAAATCACGAGATCAAAGGAGCTCTCCATTGTGGAGGTCTTCCGCTCGTCGACCGCCATTCCTTTTCCCTCCGAGCGTCTCAATCCGTCCTCGGCCAGAAAATTAAATCTTCCCCTGGATATAAATATTCCCTCCCCCTGAATTAATAAGGGTACCCTCTTCTCTCTCCATTACATCCACGAAAAAAATCCCGCCCATGAAAAGCGCCTCCAAGGCCCTCGAAAAAAAAAAGAAAAAAATAGAAACAAACTCCAGCCCTATCTCCCCGCCGATCGCAATTCCCATCGGAAAAGTTCGGAGAACTTTTGTTAACACCGCCGCGTTATCGAACATTATTTTCAACCAGTCCTTGACGTTCCACGAAACGCGATAAGTCTGCAACAAGCTACCGAACGACGGCGATAAACGCCCTGCCCATTCCACGTGTCTTCAAGGCTCCATATTTTTTTTTTCTTCTTTTTTAAATATTTTCCCCGCTGTGGTGACAAAACGGGAGTTACATAATCGCGGTAACATCGAGTCCTTTTCATTTCTTCGCTCGCTTGCGACAGAAATTACTATCGTCGCGTTAACGCCTCGAGAATGTCACACCGAGTCCTTTTATCTGCCCCTCGTTCGCGATAGGAACTTTTCCCGCGATATCGTCTCGAAAAAAAAAAAAAAAAAAACAGAAACTGGGAATAATATTAATTTATAACTGATATTAAACTAAACCCTAACCTTCGAATGTTACACGTCGACACCCTAATATATTAGGTACAATGCCGAATATAATTCCAAAAAGCTGTCGATATAAGTGCCAACGTCGGTAGCTTATTTAGAATTCTTTTTACCGAGGTCGATGGAATTTCTCGGCGGGTTTCACTTTACCTTAAATTCCCGGTGCAGTAACGAGGCGATCGGTAATACGGTTAGTCGCGTAAGTAGTCGGGATTGCAGAGGGAGGGCTCGGTATCGGCCGTGGAATCAAGCCGTTCCCGCTCGGACCCCCCGGGACTCGGTGAATGATCCAATCTGGCCCCTACAATAAATAATCACGCGTATCGGACTACTTGGGAACCCCGCGAAAGCGTGGCAAACTAATCCGTCATCGCGGCCTTGTTCGCGGGGGTTCCTGACGGCAATCACCGTGTCCGCCCGCCCGCTGGGAGTGTTGACGTTTCCAGCCCGACGACGACGACGACGAGAAAGAGCAGCGAGCTTCAAAGGGCAGAGGACCCTTCTGGTCCATTGTCCCAAGAGCGATCTTATAGGGAAAAGTGGCCTAATTTAAAGATAACGCGAAAGGCGCTGAAGAAATTTAATCGACCTCGATAAATTGAAATTGAAGAAAAATGTCGGAATTTCAGGAAAAATCGGCAACTTTCCACGTGGCTCCCGCTGGGTGTTTTGACACTTTGAATTCACGGCTAAGAGGAGAAAGAGCATCGCCCGGTAAGGGGTTGCCCCTTGAGAGGTTCTCCTATGGGGTCCATTGTTCGAAGTCGGATTGACTCGTAGTCCTTTCGACTGGAG